AATGATGTGATTCTTTTTCGGGTAACGCTGCCAGATGCTAACCCTATCCTTACCAAACGTCAGGTATTGCGTGAAGTGGCCAGAATCTTCGACCCTCTTGGACTTCTGGCTCCAGTAACAGTGACCGCTAAGATGATGATGCAGTTAACATGGGCCGCCAAGATAGATTGGGATACGCCCTTACCACCAGAGCTACGCGAGAAGTGGCTCAAGTTCCGAGGCAGCCTTCCAGCTATTAGCGCTTTCCGCATACCACGATGGAACGGAATGACCAAGTCAGCAGCTACCACGCTCCATGGGTTTTGCGATGCCAGCGAACGGGCGTACGCCGCTGTTATATATTCACGAAGCATCGAACCCGATGGACAGGTGAGAGTGANATCCATGGGTTTTGCGATGCCAGCGAACGGACGTACGCCGCTGTCATATATTCACGAAGCATCGAACCCGATGGACAGGTGAGAGTGAGACTCGTAGCTGCACGAACTAAGGTTAGTCCACTTAAGGCAATCACCATTCCGAGGCTGGAATTGTGCGCCGCTCACTTGCTTGTAACTTCTATGGTGAGTGTACGCGAGGCTCTTCAACTCAGCAAAGATCAATGCACCTATTGGAGCGATTCCAGCATAGCCCTTGCTTGGATACGCAAGCCACCAAACATTTTGATGCAGTATGTCTCCAATCGAGTGGCTTACGTCCAAAGGAACTCCAATCCTTCAGATTGGCATCACATAAGCAGCAAAGACAATCCTGCCGACTGTGCCAGTCCCGGTATGACACCAGCGGCTCTTCACAATTTTTCCTTATGGTGGAATGGGCCAGGCAACATGTACGAAGACAATCTTATACCAAGTGAGATCCCACTTCTCGGCGACAGCGAGCAGCAAGTGCACGATGCCGAACTGAGGCCACTTCGAACACATATCTGCACTCTGACCATCCCTAAGATACAAGTCCGGCGGTGTAATGGGTCACTTACCACATTCATTCCATTAGTGGAACGCTTCAGCACTTTACAGCGAGTTTTGCATACCACAGCCTATGTGCTACGGTTTCGGCCAGCGGGCAGACCCTACTGGCGTACGCCAGTTATAACGGCAGATGAAATTCAGCAAGCTTTTGAAATTCTTGTTCGAGAAGCGCAAGCTTGCTGTTTCGAGTAAGTTGCTCTCTCTGAACCCTATCCTGGATGACGCTGGTGTGTTAAGGGTTAGCGGCCGACTGAGGAACGCAGACCTCACGTATGAGCAGCGCCATCCGATCATCCTTCCTAGAGAATGTGCCCTAGCTACGCTTCTGTTCCGCAACGCACACAGGATTACAATACACGGCGGCATTAGGGAGATGCTACAGTACCTCCGACGGGATCTCTGGATTGTGCACGCTAGAGTCTTGGTCAAGCGGTGCCTACATCAGTGTAAGACCTGCAAGTTACACCAAAGAGCAATGCAACAACAACAAATGGCTGATCTACCTCGCTCTCGAGTAATGGTTGCGCCTCCCTTTTCCAACGCTGGGTTGGATTACGCCGGACCATTCCTCGTCCGCCATGGTGGTAAACGTTCTACCACCACCACCAAGACGTATGCTGCGATCTTCATATGCATGTGTACAAAGGCAGTGCACATAGAACTGGCGGAAGACCTGANCAGACGTATGCTGCGATTTTCATATGCATGTGTACAAAGGCAGTGCACATAGAACTGGCGGAAGACCTGAGCACCCGAGCATTTCTGGACGTCTTTGATCGATTTGTGAGTCGTAGAGGATATTGCACCAATCTCTATAGCGACAATGGCACCCAATTTGTGGGGGCAAACCGTCAACTTCAAACTGACCTGGTCGACTGGCACAACACTTATTCCAAGCAACAACTGTCTGATGCAGGCGTCCGCTGGCACTTCATAACTCCTTCCGCTCCTCATCAAGGAGGCTTATGGGAGGCTGCAGTGCGTTCGGCCAAGAAGCATCTCAAGCGCGTCATTGGTGATGCTGTTCTCCCGTTCATCCAAATCAGTACCCTGCTGGTACGCATTGAGGCATGTCTCAACTCTAGACCCATCATCGCTCTTCATGACGATCCTGAAGGCGGCGTCGCGCTATCACCCGGAGACTTCCTCATCGGCCGCCCATTGAATTCTCGTCCAGAGGCCACCGTTCCGGAAGCTCCGGACAATCGGCTAAAGTACTACCAACGACTACAACGCATGTTGCAACATTTTTGGCACCGGTGGAAGGAGGAATACTTGGTCCAGCTCCAGTCTCGTAGCAAGTGGGCCCGACCTACGCCAAATCTACAAGTTGGTGACGTCGTGGCCATCCAGCAAGAGCAGCTTCCTCCATCTCGATGGCGCATCGGTCGCATTACAGCAGTGCTTCCGGGGAGTGATGGGCTGGTGCGCGTAGTCACCATCGAATCCTGCACATTCGAAAGAGGCTTCTGTCGCAAACATTTGTGTCAGCGCCCAGTCCAACGACTATGCCGTATCCTTCAAGCCCACGAAGGCATTCTAAGTCCGGAGGACTTAGCCGGGGAGGATGTACGCGATTAAGTGGCAACGACCAGCTTTATCGTCTGCACTCTACACAAACCTTTAGTATCATTCGCGGCTGCACTCTGAACTAGCCTCAAGTGTCATTCGATTATTTATGTTTTGCATACATACACACATACTTCCATCTTTATATATAATATTCTTGAACCTGTAAACATCATA